ACACAGCTTTGCAGTGCAATTTGCAGATGTTTGTTGGAACTGTGTTTTGGGGAAACGCTGAATCGTTGAACTATGTTGCTAATGACGGAACTTGCGACCATAGTTTGCCAGCGATGCTTCTCGGAAACACGGCCCAGGTCAACAGCAGCTGCCTATTTCTCCATAATGAATGATTTCTCTCTTCCAGTTTTCATTGTTTTTTTGTTTTTGTCTCCATATCTCTGATCTGTCTTCTATCCACTGCCCTCATCTGTGGACCCAGCTGTTGTTCTGGACTCGATCCCTATTTACCATATCACTGTCACTTAATACTGAAAAATCATTTAGCTGTGTTTGAGAAGCCAGCAGCAGAGGCTTATCCCCTCTGTGCTTCCGCTGTTATTTTCTATTTAACAGCTATCAACAGCATGGGCTCTAAAGCGATTAAACACAGCGGCACAACATCTAATGCAGCTGTTCTCGTGAAGTGCTTTTGACACGATCCTCTCCCAAATTGCCGTGTGAAATGAAACAGAACTCCACCGACAGGGATTTCAGACCTCTCACAACTACGTGCTTTAATAATCCAATCCAATGTTCCAATGTTTTGGAACCTGTTTCCACAGATAATAGAGGCCATCGTTTTTTTTCTCATGATTTCTTTCTCCAATGCAGTTAGTACATTCTTGCTATTGTAGCTTTAAGACTTCTGTACGTAAATGTCCTATATTATGATTGGCTATCATGGATACAAATATGGTTTTAATTCTAAATGACCCAGTTTAGTTTTAGTACATCTCAAATTTCTTCAGACTTTTTAAACTTTTTTTTTTTTTTTTGTTCTTCCACTTCTCCAATCCAGACGGTGGACATCCACAAAGAAAAAGTGGCGAGGCGGGAGATCGGCATCCTCACAACCAATAAGAACACCTCCCGAACGCATAAAATCATTGCTCCAGCCAATCCCGAGAGGCCAGTGCGGTTTATTCGCAAACCTATCGATTACAGCACGCTGGACGATATCGGTCATGGTGTGAAGGTAGGACACAGGCTCACTTCAGGGGGAATGATTTCTCAGACTAACATGTTTGTTTTGAACTAACAAATGCCAGAATCTGACGTGGGTTTTCTTTGTGTCTGAGATGTGTCACTAACCTCTCTGTGCTTCCTCTCACCTCTGTTCTCTGCTTCGCTCTTGGTTTAAGTGGTTACTTAGGTTCAAGGTAAGGGTCTTTACAGCTGTCTTATGATCAGGTGACATGAATGGAGAAGGAATAAGGTTTGATTCCTTAGTTCATATGATCTAAATATGGACTGAGAATACTGATATTCTGTATTTGATTCATTCTAGGTTTAAAGGCTTGTCAGTTTTTTACAAAAACACTATTTGGAGACTCAGAAATTTCTTATATAGACGCATTAATGACTGAGGAATCGAAATGGAGCAAATAATATTTTAGTTTGGTTTTGCAAATTAGAATTTGAACACCGATTTGGCAATCATCCTTGTTTCTTCTTTCATCCTTTCTATATCACATTTACATTTTTATCATTGTTGCATGTTGCTCAGGAGTGTGTGTGTGTGTGTGTGTGTGTGAGAGAGATTGTTCTGTTTGTTTGGTCTTTTCTTTGTTTTCTTTAAAAAACTAAATGAGATAAAACACTTTTTCACATGCTTTCTCTCTGTGGCTCTACATTTTATGCTGCTGTTCTAGGCTATTGTCGACTTAGATACTGTTTTCCTCCTCTTCCATGCAATTGAAATGCTTTTGTTCACAGCAAAAGGCTGTCTTTGATATTGTTGATTTTGTTGTTATTGTCATAGGTCAACACCCAGAACATGAAGATGGGCAGCCTTCTTCGCACCACACCTCCAACACAGAAACCACCCAGCCCCCCAATGCCAGGCAAAGGCACCATAGGGTATGTATATGGGCTTTATAGCTCTAGGGTCACAAATGAGAGAATTGAGACTGAGATTGTAGCAGTGGATGACTCATTTTGTGAGTTTTTGCTTATAATATTTACATCTCCGAGGTCCTTCATTGAGCAGCACAAAATCTTTTGATTTAAATTTATTCGGCAGTGTTTTTATGATAAATGAAATGAATGACAAATTCTAATATGCAGTACCAGTCAAATGTGTCGACACGCCTAATAATTTGTCATTATTCCATTATGTAGATCATTAAGTGTGTCAAACATTTGACTGGTACTTTATGACACTTTCAACTTGTCCGATAATTTAAAAGAGTGTTTTTTATGATAATGTTTCTACAGTAACATCAGTGAGGTTTTCATTTCCTAGTAAAAGCCTGTTTTTCAGTGTAGGTCATGCACAGCGTGATGTGACTCAGGGGCACATGTGTGGGTCATGTCTTTAGTCCTCGGAGAATTCAGCCTCAGCCTCACAGATGGCATTATCCATTACATCCCTTGTTTCCCTTTATGCCATTGAAGAGCCTGATTTACATTTGGGTCAGAAAAATTTGGGTCCGTGTTTTAAATATGCATCAAAAATTGTGAAAGCGTGAAACTGTGATTATGAAAGATCTGATATGCTTAAGTTTTAAAGCGTGTTCATTATTAAGACGGGGCTTGATGTTTTGAGCACTGAGGACGGAGGGTGTGTCCTGCCCTGTTTTCTGAGCACTGGCTGTGAAGATTGGCTCCCTTTTGGTTTCCTGTGTCGCCCCATGATGGCTGGTCATTGCAGGCCAGATTGTGTGTTGCTTAATGGACAGGTCAGCAACACAGCTAAAGCTCATTCCCTCATGAAATGCATATGCAAGTGAAGGGAAGTTGTAAATCTGTACATATCTGGTAAAACTGTTGGGTGAATCTTGCAAACCTGCCAAGAACTGGTCAATACTTTCATTTTTTTTTAAAAGCCTTTTTTTTCTGGACAATTAAGATTTGCTTTTTGACATTTATTTTCATGACAATTAAGCAGATTTCTATGTGAATTCTCATCATTGTACTGTGGAAAAGAGTAGTATTTCTTGTCCTTTAATTTATGCTTATTTTAAAAAAGTACAGTAATTAGTTTACTGTAATACGGTAAAAATATGTATTAGAGTTGTGGAAATATGATTGGGCACACATTATGGTAATGAGAGTCTGGGGTTGAAATGTCACGTCAAAATAGCATGATTTTATTTCAGCAAAATGTATTTATTAGTGTGAGCTGGATTTTTTGTTGAGAGATTCATTGTGTGGCTGTTTAGGAGACACAAATTAAGAGAAAAGCAAGGTTGAGTACTTTTTAGGGATGCACCGATCCGATACTGAGTATCTATATGGTCTCTGATACTGCCATTTTATGCCAGATCGGGTATTGGTCAGACAGGACCGATCCAAATCGGATACTGTGCGTATACTGTTATTGTTATGCCCCACAAAAGGCACAAAAACATTATAAAGCACCATATAGTTTTTGTGCACTATATTCCAAGTGTTCTGAAGCCGTTCCATAGTTTAATGTGAGGTGCAGATGAATGTTTAAGTCGTTAAATTCAAGTTCACGTAAACTCTTCTCTCCGGTGCGGCTGTCTGTCATCCTCCACTCAGCATTCAAACTGTGTGTCGCGTTTTGTTACTATAGTCAAGACAATGAAACTCCAAGATAATTCAGTGTTCCTATCATTATACTTGATATGTAGATAAAGATCAATGGATTTGCATAAAAGGACTTTATCTTGCTGGAGTTTAGTGCTCTTTCTAAATCATGTAACTTTCTACTGGATGTCTGTTAGATCACAACACCATGAATTGTTCTTCACGCACACAGTAACTGAAATTTAATACAGTTAAAAGAAAAAAAATCTATCACAGATATAATACACTACACATCAATATCTCTTCCTTTTGTGCTTTGAACTTTTCTATGTTGAACGCTGTGACTCCGTGTTGCTTCAAGCGCATCATTCTGCGCACAGGATGCACATAACGCTTTGTATTGGAGCCTTTCATATTATAATACTTTTGCACAATGAAAGATTATTCTTTCATCCTTTCTTGTTCTGGCCTATCTATCATACTGTACGTTGCTGCCTCATTACTTTGCTATACATTTAAAGGTTAATTTATAGTGTATATTTATATATAAATATATGTGCTTGTATTTCATGAATGTATTTTACAACAATACAAAGAGCAATGTGTAACATTTTACCAAATTTAGTCCTACACTTACTCACTTTTATTTTTTTCCCCACTGTATAATGTTTTTTTTTCTCTTAATGTTCAGGTTTTATTAAATGATTGTGCGCTCATCATTTTTCTAGAGTACTTTTTGCTGCTGAATTATCCACTAACCTAGTCTATAATAGTATTTTTTTGTCATAGATTATGATTTTATATTTTTTTCACTTGTTATTTTTCTGTATTATGAAGTTGTCTATATTTAGTAGATAGTGTTTACCACACAATAGAGTGATGAACAGGTCAACACACAGAGAGGTATAAAAGTTCTACATTGATAAAAAAAAAAAAAACTGTGCTAGTATCGTATCAGTTTCGACCAATACTCAAAGTTTTTGGTATCGGGGCATCCCTAGTACTTTTAAGGTTCTTGCAGTTTTTCCTGTGATGAAGAGACAATTTAGTTGATTTAAGTGGTAATAAATTGTTTTAATTAAAGATGTATGTTAATAGTTTATTAATAGTTGCCTCAAACAGTAATGCCCGTTTTTTCTCTTTTGATATCAGAGAAAAAATGGGCCACTGACTTCACATTTTATTTCCACAGATTGAATTACTATTTCTCACCTGCACTTTCCTGACCTCAAATCCGAAGTACTTTATTTTTAGTTATTTGTGTTGTTTCACAACCTTGAAAATGATGTATGGAATCTCATCCTTTCAAAGAAAACTGAAATCATGCTGTTGATGAATTATAACTGTTTTGTTTAGGAATGCTAAAAGTCCTGATTGTTTATTTTGAGAATATCAGACATTGTCAAGCAAAATTGTCTGAACAAGTTTCCCCAAGGTTGTTAAACTGCTGTCCCTCCCAACAGGAGGCACTCCCCCTACAGAACGCTTGAGCCAGTGCGGCCTCCGGTGGTACCTAATGACTATGTCCCAAGCCCCACACGCAATATGGCGCCCATTCTGCAGCAAAGTCCTGTGCGCACAGCATCTGTTAATCAGAGGAACCGCACTTACAGGTACCATTACCCACATCCTCTCCTTTCTGTCAGAGCATGCCTCTCTCACACTGTAGTTAGGGACTTTGCACATATAGTGACTGTATGTAAATGTATTTATTAGCTAGCATTGATTAGCAGGTTTTGCTGTAAAGCTCTTTCACACAGACATCGCTTTTCACCAGCACTTCTAAAACAAGCATCGTTGATTGTCTGCACAATTGCATAATCTGAAACCTTGGCAACCAGTTGCAAGTGACGTTAGCAGTGCTCACAAACACCTCATCAGTCATGGAGGATAAAGACGCCTGAAGATGCTCTCAAATGACTGCAGAGCATCTCTTTCTCTGACATTTTCTCTGTCTCCCATCTCAAACTTTCCTTTCTTGTTTTATTTTTCCTGAGGATTTTAAAGATCAAGTCCGCTACATTGCAGAACAAGCGCAAGACTCTTGCAGATAGTTCTCTCGGTCTTTCCTTTGAAGCTCAGACCTGCTGTGTCTGAAATTATGTAACGGCTCTCACTTGTTCTCCTTTGATCTCTGTGCCGTCTGCAGCGATGCCTGTAACATCTTCATTTATGTATTTGGCTGACACTTTTAGCTAAAGCGATTTTATAATGTGTGTTTCCTGGGAATCGAACCCTGATCTTGTTGTTTTTAGCATCCCATGTTTTACTTGTTGAGCAGGAACACTCTTCAATACACTTACAACCTTCTAACCGGTTCTAGAAGGGTTTTCTTAGAAAACACTTCTAAGCATTTCTCATGTTTTCACCCTGAGCAGTGAATGTATGCTGAAGTCCTCCCACATGCTCTTTACGACTGCCTCTCGGCACTCAGTGCAGAATCCGAAAAAGAGCATTCGGTGCTGTTTTCCCCAGCCCTCTCCCATTTGTCTGCCAGTTGGAAATGTTATTGAACATCTTGGACAAAAATAACAACGGTTGTGCCCTCCTGACGTTCAGAAGGGCTGATGATCTGAATGTATTCAAATTCATATTTGAGAACACGTTAATATCATCACAGCCTTCATAAATGGAGTCCAGCCTTAATCGTGCATTTAGAGGCTACAGAAAGTCGAAGTTGCTGGAGCCTTGGCACTTTGGAGTTGTAGCACTTCAAGGATGGAGGTTTTGAGTCCAGCCGGTGTTGTCCAAATCTCATTTCCCCTCATAATTTTATAGCCTACAAGAGGCTAAATCAGCTGCTTGTGTATTTCAAACTTCCTTTTACCTCTAAGTGAGGAACAAAAAAGAACGTTGCTGTCACAATATCAGGGCCTTAAGAAAAGAGCAGGTTTAAATGAATTAAATGATTCGAGAAGTCCAGCATACGTCCCCAGAGAGAAGTCATTTTCATTGGATGATCAATTTTGATCAAAATTTCAAGGTCAGAATTTCTTTTTTTGGAAGTTGTTCAAAATCAAATTGGTAATATGCGTTAAAAAAAGTATAATTTCCATTTCATGCTGATTATGAAAATTGTTGCTTTGATGCTGACAGTTCATTCTTCTCTTCAAGACACTCTTTAATGTGTCTTGTACCTTTTCTTCAGTTGCTTCAGCTCTATATTCGCCTGGCATTGCTGTCTGTTTCTCTTTTCATCTCAAAAAAGTATCTCACTCAAAGACCTTCATCTCATTACTGATTGATTTTATGCATTTCTTCTTGCTCTTTTCTCTTCATCTCAAGCACATAATCTCATGCAGTCTGTGCTCCATGTATTCAGTATGAGTGCAGGCTATGAGTGTACTACTTTCTGCCCACAAAGTCTCTGCTGTTGCTTCTCCGTTCCTTCTGTGACTCACAAATGCTGCCATCTCATGTTCTTTATGTCATAGACACTGAACCCAACCCATGCTGCTTTGTGTTTGTGTGAGCTGTTCAAATTGGTAATATCTGTGTATGTGTCTGAGTTTGTATGATGTATGTGTGTTTGAGAGCACTTGCAGTGGTGAGTGTATGATTCATCTGTTTTGTTGTCTCTGTGTGTGAGTCTTTGGATGTCAGTATGTGTATAACGGGGCGTATGTGTGTGAGGTGTGTAATCTGTAGCGTGTGTTTAGCAGCGGGAGCAGTGACGGCAGTCATCCCAGCAGTCGCAGCAGCAGTCGTGAAAACAGCGGCAGCGGCAGTGTGGGTGTTCCCATCGCTGTGCCCACACCCTCTCCACCCAGCGCCTTTCCAGGTGACATCTTTATCACAGAAAGCACACTTAACATATGTACTGCTTGCAGTCTGGCTGTTTTTTGATTATTTATAATAAGAGCTTGTTTAAGAAGTGTGATATGAACTTGCTAATAACTGGCTTTATATCTAGATTCAAATGCTAAACACATTAATAGGATAGTTCATCCAAAAGATAAAATTCTTTCATCTGTTCATGTTGCTCCAAATTTGTATGTATTTTTCTGTTTTTGTGGAAAACAAAATGAGTTTAGTTATATTTCCACAGAAAAACTGACAAGCAAGAACGATGGTGTCAACTGCTAGAAAATATGTTTTCACATGTATCGTAGTGCATTAGTTTTTAGTCAAGATTTTCATAGCTATTGGTCTACTCATCACAAAACTGCCGTATAGCTTCAGAAAATGTTTAATATAACACTGGTTGGTAAAAACGGCATTTGGTAGGTGCTTTTATCCAAAGTGACTTACAATATTGGAAGTATACATGTCCCATGCATTCCCTGGGAATTGAACCCTCAACCTTGGCATTGCTAACGCCATGCTCTACTGTTTGAACTACAGGAACAATAAAAAATACACTACTTTTATGGTACTTTTGTACCTTTTTCACTTTACTATTTACTTCTATGCATTGAAAAAGCATCTTTGATGACATGAGGTCAAGTAAATGATTAAATTAATTTTTTGGGTGAACTCTGAATGGGTGAAACTCAGTCAGCAACCACAGTTTTTACTGTCAAATGACTGAAACAAGGAATTTTTTGAATGAGATTTGCATATACATCCAGGGTGTCCAATCCTGCTTCTTAAGGGCCACTGGCCTGCAGAGCTTAGCTCCAACACACCTGCCTGGAAGATTCTAGTGATCCTGAAGACCTTGATTAACTGGTTCAGGTGTGTTTAATTAGGGCTAGAGCTAAAATGCTGAAAGGTGGCCCTCCAGGAACAGGATTGGATACCCATGATATACTTGGTCTTCACAAAAGCTGAATTGTGACTGGATTTTAAGATCAGTATTTCTTCGATCATGTAGAGAGTTCTCTGAGACTAAAGTAAGACTTCTTCCTGGCATGCCCCACATTAGCTCCCTTTAAACGAAATGCAAAAGCATTTCTCATTTGGTTTCCTCCGTCTTTCCTTTTTTCAACCTCAAGCTGCTACTGCCAGCACACCCTCAGCTCCAACTAACTCCACTCAGCCTTCTGTCATGTCCTCTAATTTAACCCCTACACAACCCTCAGCCAACCCCACCTTAATCCCTGAATCTCTTCCCACTCACCCCGACTCCACTGAGAGCTTGCTGACCTCAGAAAAAGGCTCTCCTACCTCTCAGCCACCCCTCACTTCAGCTGAAGCTAGTGCTACATCCAACACCAACTCTGGGACAGGTGAGTCCGCCACTGTCCGGCCCATCTCCAGCCCATCAGTCATACCTTCTGCCCTCGTTTCATTCCCCACCTGCTGACACATCACGCTGTTCTGTGGTGAAGTTTTGGTCTTTGTGTCCTACTCATTTTGCTTTCTCATGAGTCTCTCAAGCTATTTTCACACATGGTTTCGTTGTTTGTTCTGACTCAAACATGGTACAGTAGTTTTGTGTCATCAATAAAAGTACCACTGCAACTTCACTCGCAGAGAAAGAAATGCAAACGTTTTGCTTGTATACAACAGTTCTTTAAACAAGATTACGTATTGCATTCTTTTGAGTGTCGTATTACAGAAAAATATAAGCTGATTAATCACCTAATTGCCAATATTTCTCTATAGAGCGCTGCGGTGATGACGACATAATTTTGTAGGCCAACCTGGAGATTAGCATCACCCTAGTTCACTCTACAAAAACCCAATAGGATTTTTTTCCATTGGCTTTTGGATTATTGCAGAAAACAAGCTCCGTGTCTAAGAAAAGTTTCTGATTCTTACACATTTTATTCATCATGATAATCTTCACAAGATAAGTTTTTATACATTTTGAAGCCTAAATACAATTGCCAGAAGTAAAAAGATAAATGTAGACTATAAATGAAGTACACTACGAACGCATGACTTCAACGCCACCACCAGTATGCTTCTGACAACTCTTTCAGTCTTTATTTAAAAACATATTCCATGAAAGTTTGTGGCAGAAGAGTTTGCAAGAGCACAGTTGTAAACACAATGATGCTGTGGACCAGTGAGTAGATTTAGAGTTTACCTGTTCAGTGTATTGACATTAAATGACACTTGTTAGCAACCACATTGACTTAAGGACGATGAAACCAGAAGTACTAAAATGCTAACTCATTTCCAGGATTTGGCCTACAAAAATCATTCCTGCAGCAGCACTCTATTAAAAATGATATGCAAATTCTAAATCAAAATAAATAAATAAAATTCCACATTCCAAACTTGGCTAAACTGTTCGTAGAGATCCATCCTTGTGAAACTGTACTCCTGTAGTCAAGCAGAAAACTGCTTTCAGTTCAACCAAATAAATCCAAGTCTGTTGCCAAAAGTATTTTGGTCCACACAAAGATGATCTAGTGTGAAAACCACCTTAGTCCAGATCAGTTTAAACGTCATTTTCATGACGTTCACACTTGCTTTTGGATCATTGATCCATTTGGTCATTATGGAAAAATGTGTCCTTAAATAGTCTGACTGTAGACCTCTCACATTTCTTTTCTAATTTTTGACAGTTAAGGTGGCATGTTTTCAGAAATGAATGTGATAAGTCTGCAAGTCTTTTCTCTCTCTCATGGCTGTGTTGTTCATCCAGGTGGCCCTCAGTTCTACAGCATGAACAGGCCCGTCCCCAGACAGATCACACCCACAGTGGGAGGTTCGCTGCCGTATCGCCGGCCGGCCTCAATCACGGGTCAGACTTCCATGCCCCCCAGCCAGCAGAACGGAGGGCCCTATTACAATCAGAACCAAGGTACTGCTCTCACTATTCAGACTTGACATCTTTCATGTTCTGGTTATTCGTCAAAGCCAAAGTTTAATTTGTTCTCTGAGATATAGTACATCATGGATTCCCCTACCTGCATTTTACTTTCTTTTAAGAGTTGTATTTGACACACCATTATATCTTTGATTACCACATTCATCTTTACTGCAACATTTCTCTCATAAAGTTCTTAATTATAATCTAGACTTATCATAGTCAGATTGGTGCTTTGATGTGAAAATTAGTTAGTCTTTGAACTCTCTAGCTGGTGTAGATTCACCCTTCATCCTTTCTGCTCCGAGGTGACCACTTCCTGTTTGCCAGAAAGTGTTTGCACACTAAACTAACTGCCTACTCTCTTCTGTTTTCCCTTTCACATTCACTTTCTTTATCTTGGTTCATTGCTCACACACTCCCCCCCTTCCTCTGTTTCTCTGTGCTTTTTGTGGTCTTGTGGACTAGCCTCAGTGGCCCCCCCTCCCCCCTCCATACTGCAGATCACACCCCAGCTTCCACTGACGGGTTTTGTGGCTCGCGTACAGGAAACCAGTAAGTGGCTTTGAGCTCCTCTGATGAGACCCTCCTGCTTTTAAAGACACACTCATACACACGTTCAGCTCAATGTGGCTTGTCATCGCAAAACATGCTGTTGAAAGCATGAAAATATATCCTGGTTTCAGGGCTGTCAGTTGATTAAAATCTACTTGTTTTTATAAATCAAATGTATTTATTATTAATTATATTAAAATTATAGATCAATATTTCCTGGAAAAAAAGCTTCCAAGTGAAGATAATTACAAAACATTATTGTGGCAGATGGATAGTTGTATCAGTGACTATTTTGAGGCAGACTTTAAGTGCCCCTATTATGGATTTTTGAAAATTAAATTTCATGCAGTGTGAATGTAAACAGTCTGCAAAGTTGTAAAGCTGCAAATGCATTGTCTCTCAAAAGAAAGATTTGACTCTGAACCGATGAAACGAGTTGTTTTAAATTCGAATTCTATTCCGCGAATTTCACACGTCACAAATTCTAACATTTGCATAATGCCCGCCTACATTCTGCGTGGACATCCCGCGGAAACAAACTTCAAACGCTGTAGCTGGTTCGTGTGGATAACGTAATGTCAAGAAGACGCTGTGCTCTTCGTTGTGAAAGTGAATTTGGTTAATTTTCACTTCCAAAGGATGAGGCTGTGAAGGATCAGTGGTTAAAATTCATCTTTACTAGGATACCACAGCAGTATAATCAGTGTGTTCTCGTCATTTCACTGACGACTGCTTCTCTAATCTCTCTGAGTTCAATGCAGGATTTGTAAACCGGTTGTCTTTGAAAGATGGGTCAGTGACCAGTTTGTTAACTCACGTTATAGTTCTGCTAATCAGCTGTGGGCCAGCTATTGTCTAGAAATGTGTCGATTAATATAGAATGTCTGTTGTACTTGGAGTCATGATTAATGATGGAGCAATACGTTGGTTTGCAAACTGCAGTGCTTTATCAGTACACTATGTCTGTGTTCGGCTAACGCATATACCATTGTTGTTTGGGTCTTTACTACCAAGATGTGGGTCTGGTTCACTAACATAAGTGTAAAACAACTTTTTCCCCTCTGATTCTTTCTTTTTAGAACAGAGTGGAGCACTATCATTATTATAATAGGATGTATTATTGTTAAGCTGTATTCCAGTACTGGTGATGGGCATTCCTTTTCTGACATGCACTGTGTGCAGTAGACCAATCTCAACAGACTGGGTCATCTGACTAATAAGAGCACAGTAGCCTCACGCAAAGGAGGGGTTTAGAAAGATGAATCTTCGAATGAATCTTTTGAGAGTCGTTGAGAAATAACATAAAATTCAATGCATATTATAAGAAAATGAAAGTGTTTTTTTTACCTTGCATGCATGTAAACCTGTTATTGGTGACTCCCAAAACCAAATTCTAAACATTTCAAATACCATAATAGGGGCACTTGATAGGCTGGAATTTACTTTTTCTTTTTTTGGAACTTTTGCATAGATTTTTGCCCCAATTTGTAGTCTGAACGAGTTGACACTAGATGCCAAAAGTCAGAGCAAGTCTGCAGATTTTAGGCCGTTGCATAGACAGATTTCACAGAAAAATGCAGTTTATGATGGGCACAGATTTTTTTTAATTGTTGGTGTCCGCAGACCGTGTCAGACATTTTTGGCCATGTGATGCGCCTCACTGTTTTTTTTCAGCATCTTCTACATTGAGCACCCTGTTTTTAAGATGATGTTTTAAGGTTAAACATGATTGTGTTCTTGAATTCCACTAAATGTACATTAAATTGGCAGCCCTTCTTTTTAAAAGAATCTTACATATGCAGTAGGGGTATAACAATATGTTGTACATTTATGAGCTTCCATGTATTATCATTAATACATTAAAAATAAAATACATTATTTAAAAAAAAAATCAATATTTAAAAGTTAAATGCATGTAATCAGTGCAAGCTATTGTGTCTAAGATAATTCTGTATTTTTAGCTGTGCAGTATGGGGGGAGATGAGGGTGCACGGGGAAAAGGACCAAGCCCAATATAATAATCCACCACTGAAATAATACCAAATTTAGTATTTTACTGAACCATACTTTTTAACTGTTTACCATATGTGTTGGAAGTAATAATTTCTAAAAACATACTTTTTTAACTATTTGGTATCGAATCACGAGATCAGTATTGTATACGTGACATGAACTTGAGTGTATTGTTACACCCCTAACATACACTTCAATTTGCATATGTAAATGCAAAACAGTCCAGTTGTATGATATATTAAAGGCAGGCTGATTGCATTGTCATTTTTCTATACAGGTGCATTCCTATGTCTGTATGCGTCTGTCTATCTGAGAATATTAGGAGTGAAAATTCCATCACTGTTTCTTTGTCACAGTAAACCATTCATTTACCTCTTGCGCTTTCTGCATGGATCCATGAGCTTGCATGGCCTTCCCGTCTAAAGGAATCCTAGTCTATGTGCCTCCTGTTCATTTCTCTACTCTCAGTTTCAGATGCACCTCCCCCACCTCCCCCTTCAGAAGAGCCGGTGTTTGAGGAGACACAAAACCCAGTTCCACCTCCAGAAGACTATGAGCAAGAGGAGTCTTCTGTGGTGGAGTACAGTGACCCTTACGCTGAAGAAGATCCACCCTGGGCTCCACAAACTTACCTGGAGAAAGGTACACTGAACATATTTTAAAGACTCTGGTTAGATTCAGCACACGTTGCTATTGAGGTTGGCTAGCTACGGCATACCAACATAGTTCACACTGATGTTCATCAGGCCATTTTAATGTGCTCATTGTGACGTCAGTACCATGATGATTTGTGAATGGCCTGTTTTTGCAGCTTGAGGTGGGTGTTACATCAATGACACTGACACTACCAGAATCACAAGCATTTTTCGGACAGTAATTGTTTTTCTTGGGGACATAAGGTGTTTTCAACATTTACAAGAGCTAGTCTGTGATTTTACTGCTGTCCCAATCCAGAATGTCTCTTGAGTTTTCAAGAAGGCGGCAATCCAAAAGTTGGTTTGTATATCCTATTTGACCACTACCAAGTACCATGTGATAACTGCTGCACTTCACTCTAAAGTGCACGCATTTTAAAAATGGACAATTTTATTAATAAAATTCTGTAAACTCTTTACAAGTATAATCATAGTCATGTCACTGCTCCACTACAGCCAGTGGGAGCTGTTAAGAAGAAAAAGAAAAGAAAATCATGTAAACTTTTAAAATGGACCATTATTATGGTATCAAATAAAGTTTAAAAATCAGGTCTTGCACAACTAGTACTAGTCGAACAAGTAGCTTATTATAAGTTTATTTACCTTGTGTAAATAAAAGTTTGCATCAACTTGATTCTGCTAATTTCCACATTTTTTAAATGACATCCATCAATTTTAGAGATAAAATGCAAGACAAAAGCCATTTAAACTATATTGTGTCAATTTCCCTATTTTTACATAAGTATTTAAATAATAAAAATAATAAATAGGGTATTAATTTCCTATTTTTAAATTAAATATATACAGTATCTCACAGAAGTGAGTACACCCCTCACATTTTTGTAAATATTTTATTATATCTTTTCATGTGACAACACTGAAGAAATGACACTTTGCTACAATGTAAAGTAGTGAGTGTACAGCTTGTATAACAGTGTAAATTTGCTGTCCCCTCAAATTATCACTTAGGGGTGTACTCACTTTTGTGGCCAGCGGTTTAGACATTAATGGCTGTGTGTTGAGTTATTTTGAGGGGACAGCAAATTTACACTGTTATACAAGCTGTACACTCACTACTTTACATTGTAGCAAAGTGTCATTTCTTCAGTGTTGTCACATGAAAAGATATAATAAAATATTTACAAAAATGTGAGGGGTGTACTCACTTCTGTGAGATACTGTACATTTATTCATTGTCCAAGCAATAACAGACAGCTGCTTACAGCTGACAGTCATGAAACTGACCATGTGTTCCTGGGTTCGTAGGAACACAGAACTCAATCCTCGACCATGAAATAAATCATCCAAAAGTTTTATGACTGAGGTGCAATACAAATTTATTGTTACAGTTGTCCCCATGTGAAACAATTACTGTCCAAATAGGACTTCATTCATAGCTGAAAGAATCGTCAAATTAGCACAACAATGTAATAGAAACACAACTGTGAATGATTGGTGCTCAAATTTCCACATGGGCTTAGTCATTAGTAACTTGGCTGTCTCTTTGTTTTTCCCGCTTTCAGTGGTGGCAATCTATGACTACATGCGAGACAAGGAAGATGAATTGTCTTTCCAGGAGGGGGACATCATCTATGTCATTAAAAAGAATGATGATGGCTGGTATGAAGGTGTGATGAGTGGCACTACAGGACTCTTCCCTGGAAACTATGTGGAGTCCATCATGCACTACACGGAGTGAGAGTGTCTTCTGTCTCTCCCCCAACCCTCAACGCCCACCAGCGCTAATCTTACACTGCAGAAGAGTGCATGTGTGCATACAAACCATGCTAATAACAGGCCGTGAGACTTAAGACACGAGTGGTGCGACTGAAAAGAGGAGGCGATATGAAGCTGAACATCCAGATGATGCAGAGCAGACTTTTGTACCAAGGACTGAGAAAACACTATTAGAGAAATAAGATTATATTAATAAAAGCCAATAATATGTTTACTGTTACCTTGAATGAAGGATACAGAGTTTGAAGTACAGTATATGCATAAGCTAAATTTAGACATTACATTGTTTTTATTTTTCCATATTTCATAACCTTTGCTCATTCCACAGCATTGCGGTGTTTTGGAAGGCAGCACGGGGCCGACTGATGTCTCTGAAATAGATGTATTTTTTTTAACGGCCTGAGGTGGGTTCAGGGTGTGTTTTACAGTGAGGTCACGTTCAAAAAGGGAATTCATTACAAGCATATTTTGAGGAACAAGGAAAGTATGGAACTGAACGGAAAGAGTGAATATAGAGAAGTAGCTTTCTATTTATTACATGTGACAGCTCGAGGCTTTTTAATTTGTGTCTCTGTAAAGTGTTTTGATTGTTTAAGTAATTGTATGATTTATTCTCTCCCACCTAATTAAAATCAGTTTCAGCCGGATTGATGAAATAGGAAATATTTGCACAAACATGCAAGTATAATTGGTGTCTGCACAGGGTCAGACTCGTTTACACAAAGGTCTCACCTTGGTTTTACTTTTTTATCATTAAATATATTTCATATGTTTATGAACATTTTTCCCCATGAGAAACCATCAGCCTCGACACATGCAGTACTAGACATATCTAATAACCTCATGAACTTTTAAACACTTTTTTTTTCTCGTTTGTTTTACATTTAAATATGGTGTTGTGATGCTAACCAATTGGTAAATATTTGATAAGTGTATGTAGTGCTTCATAGACTGCATGCTTAATAAAAACAGTCCTTATTTACATTTCATTTTTCTTTTTTTTCCACTTTTGCATTTTAATTCTAGGGTACCCACAATCATGGAAAACCTGAAATATATGGAAATGTTAAACTAGTGATTTCCAGTCTTGAAAAAGTTATCACAATGATTAACATTTCCTACAGTTGTTCTAAAATATTTCATCAGCTAAAACCGCAGATATGCCTGCGTGAAACATCATTCTGGTTGTGGAACATTTTGAGACATTTACAGAATAATATAGTTTGTCTATTCATTCATTTGTTAGTACCTGACATTGAAAAATCATCCAATAATCGTGATCAACTATAAAGGTCACAAAAAAAAAACTCATGTAAATTGACGGGAAAAAAGTGTTAAAACCCCATATTTTAATTAGGTCCTCATCACGTTTTTGGTCTTATACCCTGGTCTTATACCCAGTTTAAGACATTCCTGTGACATGGACAGTATTAATTTGGGTGCTCTTGAAATGTTTATGCTACTAAATATATTGTGCCATTTTGTAGTATTATTGAAATGTGTATAAGCTACTATTTGACAATCTTGGATGTTTCTCTCCAGCTACTAAAATAGTTTTCCATTTTGCAGGTCCTAAAATCAGCAAGACTTCAGTGTGTCTCCATTGTGAAATTTAATTTGAATCTTATGTAAAGAACACATGGAGGCTCTTAAAAACAGGGTAGAGTCTGATGAGCATATCTCTCGCCCTACCCTGCAATAATACCTGGCAAAATGTGACGTTTTGAGGGTTAATTTACCTTTTAATTTGTCTGAAAGCACATGACTCTAAACATCAGAGAATTGACAAGTTTAACTCCATTAACTCTATATTCTTGTGTGCATATATATATATATATATATATATATAACCGGATAAATGTATGGGCATCAGTATTTCCATGTGTGAGAGGATGAAACTAATGTGCAAAATCTCTAAATGTGAACCTTTCTTTTTTTCCACTAGTACTTTTCATGTAAATGGTCTGATCGCTCTTCCAAAACGGCACTTGCTCACTGCTTTCTTAATAGAAATGTTTCACCTTTGCCCCCTATGTGTCAGACGCAAAAGTGTACAGATCCAGAAACAAAAGTGAAAAAATGCGTATATGATAAACTTTCTGTTTTTGACTTCTTTCCATACTGTGTGTAGATTGTGTTGAGGGGCGTTGACAGTGAAATGTCTCAGATGTAGTTACAGTGCAGAGCTCAAGCCCATGTTATTTTTCAGACTTACGTAACTTGGCAGCGAACAGGGTCCAGATGGCTTGAGACGTACGTAAGATTGCTGGAGGTTTGCACACTCAGACGCCCACAGGCTGTTAGCTACAGAGAAGAAGAGCATTTAGTCTGCTTTGACGAAGCTATGAGATTCTCAACATATTTGTATCTTATACATATTTACTTCACGTCTTTATATAGTGTTATTTTATTTTTAAGTAATAAATGTATATATACATAGCTACAGTATCCACACAGCAAAAATTGGAAGTGGATGTTTGTGTGGAAGTGTGAAAATCAAACCTCAGCTCTGTGAAAAGTGTCCATGGTGTGAGAACAAGATATCAAATGAGCAGTTCTGTTATGTCCCAAGAAGGATTAGCCTACATCTCAGTAACTTTTTTCGTTTAACATCAAGATAATGTTATACGAATTCCATTATTGTCGTATTTTTACTATAACTGTTTTAAGTGCTTAATTATATCTGTTAGCCAAAACAATATTAAGGTATGTTTGTTACCTTTAACATTTTCTTCCTTTTTATGATTTGTATGCTTCATGCAATTATTTTTATATACTAGCCTATACGAGTCTATTTAAAGGAATAGTTCTCCCAACAATGAATATTTGACGAAGTAGATGAGTTCGATTTTTTTTCCATCTAATAGATTGGGAGAAATTTAGCATTACATCACTTGTTCACCATAATTAACGTTTTGTGAAGTGAAAGGCTTTTATGGCAGGTTCCATTGTGTCAAATTGCCCAATAAAGTACTGGAACTGAAATGTCTTGCTACTAAGGAAATGAACTGTGGATGCAACGCAACACGTAAAAAGACAGTATTCATAGTCATTATAATCCGTAATTATGTCCCCACTGGATGCAACAAATGCCTCGTTTGTAATGGGTTTTATTGGTTTTGTCTGGTCATGCCGGGAGACGGCATCACAGTATGGTAAGGGGCGTAACATTTCTGTCACACGCTTGAGGTATTCGGCCAATCACAACGCACTGGAGCACTGGCCAATCACAGCCGGCGGGCTTGTGGCAACCACATGTGACGACCCCGGGCTGGACTCTGCTTCCTCCACTGTGAAAGCCGATCCGGCGATCCACAGCGCGAAGTTGATGTATTTCCTCAGCGACCAGCACGGATCAGCTCCAGCCATGACTAAGCGGATATCATCCTCTTTTGGAAGGCCAAACAAAGTTTCACTTTCAAAACGAAACACACAGCGTCTCCACGACATGGCGGCGGCAGCAACAATACTACAACGAGAATAAAAGTTACGTCTTCTTTCTTTGCGTGAACATTTGGGTGGTGTTATGCAAATCTTCCCACAGCGTTATGCAAATCTTCCCACATAGTGAGGTAGATATGTGGGGGCGTGTTAGAACGAGCCGTTTTAGGTAGGTGTGGCTGACTCTTAACTTTTATAAAGAATATCTCTTTGGATTTGAGACTTTAGACTTTACAGATCTTCTTTATGCACCAAGAGCTTGTAACACTCCAAAGAGAAAGGAACAATTGAAATCGCATCATATGATCCCTTTAATATTGTTTCAAATAAATAACATTCTTTTGAACTTTCTATTCATCCAAGAATCTTAGGGGAAAACATTACGGTTTCATTAAATTAATAAGCAGCTCAACTGTTTTCAGCATTGATAATAACAAGAAATATTTTTAAGCAGCAAATCAGCATATTAGAATGATTTCTGAAGGATCAAGTGACACTGAAGACTGGAGTAATGATGCTGAAAATTCAGCTTTACCATCACAGAATAAATTACATTTTAAAGTATATTAAAACACAAAACAGTCAGTGTAAATTGTGATAAAATTTCACAATAGTACTGTTTTTCCTGTATTTATGATCAAATAAACGCAGCCTTGGTGAGCAAAAGAGACTTTTTTCAAAAACATGAAAAAATATTACCAACCACAAACTTTTGAATAGTACAGCACATTGACAAACAGATTGCTACTTCATTAGTGAAAGTTATGATGAAGTGTTATCTTTTTTCTCTAATTAAACAGGGCAGCTTCTATTAGGTTATAACTTCAGTCCTCTGGCTGACCTGGCATTAAAGGTTCTTGTTGATGAAGTCAACAGGCAGTCCAGCAATTTCAACCTGCACAGGTCAACCACCAGAGTGGTCCGAAAAAAGAAAGTATATTTATATTTGATCTGACAACTCCAGTGTGTGCTAAGAGTAGCAGCCCTAGACTGCAGCCTCAGGAATCCTCTCAGCAAGCAGTCGAGCAGTTTCTCATAGTACACTACCGTCCTCTAGTGGTTATATGAATTCAAGTCAACAAAGCCATAACAGTAGTGGGTTACACTTAACCCTCACTAAAAGAATAACTCACAAAAACATTGTTATTTACTTGCCCTCGTGCAGTTCCAAATCCGTATGCTGTTTTATTAAACACGAAAAGGAGAAGTGTATGTCAAGCTCCAAAGTAAAAGCAGCACCATAAATTTAAGTTAAAAATATATTAAAGCTTGGGTTTGTAACTTCTGACAAACAATTTCAATAAGAGTATATTCTATTTTTATTTTGCTTGGCAGGTTTATTCATAAATTCAGCTGACTAAATAGCCTAAATAAACAGAAAATCGCCATAATTGATTTGAAAGCTACAGCAGAGATCAAGCAAGTTGATCTCTATGTTATCAAACATTAATAATATTTTGAAAGAAAATAGATTAAATGACAGACTCTTTTTTGATCTTTGTCGTCGAAGATCACACTGGTACGTGATAATACGTATGATATCCTGCTTGATTTCGGAATAAAGGAGACAGTCTGTCTGAAATATAATACCAGAAGACCATACATGGACAGTTGCCTTTTCAAACAGGGACGTCTTGCGGTAAGATAAAGCTTTCATGTTTTTACCGTCTACCTTCTGATTGCTGCAGGTCAGGCATACACTTCACGAATACCAACATCATAGTAAGACATTTCTCACCTTTTCTTCTCTTTCTCAAGTCTAAGGTATTGTGCTCGAGTATTGTGCGTGTTGGCAGCATGTTTGTAGCTCCTCTGGGCATTCGTTTTATTGCTAGTACAGCTGCGCTTGGGTCCTGCTCAGAGTCCAGCAGTGAAGAGGTCATTATTCGGCGGACAGGACGGGTTCCTCTGGGCTCTTTCTCTCCAGGAGTCATTCTGTGTCAAGGAGAGTTTGACTGTTCCAGAATACTGCTGTGAATTCATAAAACGGGATTAAAATAGACAAACAGACTTCCAATTGATGTTTCAAATAAAACAGTAACTTTACATGACATTAGTTTGCTTTAAACAAGATGCATTTTCAACCAAGAAAATAATATAATCAAATAATCATCTCCTTATTTCTCTGTACATACTGTATTTCTGTGGTAAACAGACAAGGACTGTCTCTTGTCAAATTAAATGTGTAGTAGTTGCTGCGGTATAGGTTTAATCTCTTGAGCAATGTTTAACTAAAGGCAGTTTAATCAGGGACATAAACGTGTGCAACGCCTAACAGTCTATATTTGTAGATTTTAAAACAGTATGCATGTATTATATAGAGTGTACTATCCAATAATGGACTAATTGTTATTCATTGTAAATCAGAGGATTCACCATAAGAAGCTTTTAATTGTATGATGATAATTAATGGACCATCAAAAGAACAAGAATTTGGACAACATTGATTTGTGTGATTTACACATTTATATTGTTCAGTTTAAATGTAACAGACATTTACTTCCCCATTTATTTAACTAAAGGTTCCTGACTTTAAGAAGCAGCATTAGCTCTGTACTCCTCCCTGTAAAAAGAACTCTAGCTATTCCTACATTTCATCGTTCAGGCTTTCAAAACTAAAGGAGTTTTAGAGACACAAAACCAACAGGTACACGTTTTCTCGACCTATGCATTCAAGTTTGCTAGAGGAATGACAATGATAGTAGGCACACAGTGAATTTTTTGCATTGTAAGTCAAGTAAACTTGACGTGACACCTTTTATTTTGTGGCTATGGTCCTAGAACCCTACAAAGTGTTCAATCTTAGGCAACCATACTGTGGAAGCATGCATGCTAGATTAATGTCAGTACATTGTGGCATTGCCATGACATGAGAGATAGATGTTCCAGATATGTAACACACTTTAATACAGCACTGAGCATAGACAGAGGTCAAAATAAGAACAACATCAATTCCTTATGTGTGAGCTAACCCATGCAGAGCTAACGCACATTGATAAAGTCAGGAACTGCAGCTGTATGTACAGATAGATAGCAATGCAACCAACATAAACAGACATCACATCCCATCCCAGACACAGGCCAGCTACACACAGAGATGTACTCAAGTGGTAACAGGCTCATTTTCATCTTTGTCTAACATTTGGACAGCTTCAAGAAAAGTAAGGGTCCACAGCGACACAACATAACAGATTTATCAATAACAATGGTAGCTGTTTTTTTTTTCTTTCTTTACATTTTAGTGGATGTTTTAAATTAAATGTGGAAAATTTGGTAGAATACTTCATTTAGAATGTATGCTACATGAGTGCAATTCCCACATTGGGATTTGCACGTCTAATGACAAGCAAGGGCGGCACTATTACCAGGCCCTCATTGTTTTTCTGAGAGTGGATCAACCAAATCACTCAGACAAAATGCGCGCGCACACACACACAAACATCGGTTCAACAACCCTAATTTTCTATTCACGTTTAACGTTTACAGTCAAGGGTTTCAAAACTAAACTTTAAAATAAGAATATATTTCAGGTATTAAATAATTTCATATAAAAAAGTACAAGTTCCCTCCCACCCCAGAGTTCCACATATATACGTATACATATACATTATCCCCTTTCCTCACAGCAGTGTCCATGCAGTACCTATAATAACAACGTCAGTCTTTTTCTCAATATTTTTGTATATCTGCTACACTTAATAGCAAAGCGGAACAAACACGCAGAGAAGCTTATGTATAGATGGTTTGGCTTTTTCATATTGTGGTTATAATCTGGGGTTAAAATGAGTATTATTTTAATGCAGACGTTTCAGTCGTTGAAGATAAACGGAGTGGAAAAGGAGAGTAGCATATCCATACTCGGCACATGTCCCAACTACCACTCGCTTGTCAGTTTAGTGTTTTGGTCCCGTTTGGGTGGAGCCGGCGGAGGACCCCGCCGTAATGTTGCATAGCCTGAGATGTTGGCACTCATGTATCCGCCCTTTTTCTGCTGACCCAGCAGCAACTCTGGAGGAGGGGGCGGAAGGGCCATATCGTCCATGGTGGTTACTGGCTCCAGCTTGGCCGAGATTCTTGAGGATGTGAGGGAGCCATATCGAGTCATGGACTTCCTTTTGAGAGTTCTGTTGAGGTCTTCCAAGAAGTTGGGCTGGATGGACAGACTGGCCTTGGGGGAAGTTGGTGGGATCTGAGAGTTAAAAGAGGACAGAGGCATCTGTTGAGGAGGTGGAGAAAGGACAAGCGACTCAGGTGGGCCACTGCTGTGGCGGTGCAAAGTCGGAGGGGGCACTTTCTTCAAGGAGCTTTGCTTCCATGAGGATGTGGAGCTGGATGTGTGTTGGGGTTGAGGGTTCACCACAGCCACTTTAGGAGCCCCGGTGTGCAGTTCTGATGGTAGAGGTGGAGGAGGCAGGAGTTCTGAGTCTGGTGGTGGAGGGGGAAAGTCACATTCGGGAGGAGGAGAGGGGAAGTCTGAGCTGGATTGCTGATATTGACCTTGCTTCCCCTGGAGAGCCAGAGGCAGATTAGCCAAGTTGATCTTGCCTGGTTTTGGTGGTGCACGTAGTCCTGTGGAAGAGTCCTTGGAAGGTGATCCTGTTGTAGAGGATGGAGTTGAGAAGGAGCTGGGAGGGGCTTGACTGGTTTGGGCAAACATGCTGACCAGATCCTCCACTTTCTTGGACTCCTGGTACTCAATGGAAGAGGTGGACTTCATGCTGGAGTTGCGCTGTGGGGTTGGAGGAGGCTTCTTCCCTCCTGAACCAGTAGAAGAATTTGACGACGTCGATGGGGACTTCTTGATTGGTGATCCCATCTTGCCAGAAGGCTGTGGGGCAGGAGGGGGACTTGGAGCAGGAGGTGGAGGGAATTCAAGGGTACTCTCTGGTGGGGGTGGAGGAAATTCAGGAGATTGTGGTTGAGCCCATGAGGATGTGGAGCTGGATGTGTGTTGGGGTTGAGGGTTCACCACAGCCACTTTAGGAGCCCCGGTGTGCAGTTCTGATGGTAGAGGTGGAGGAGGCAGGAGTTCTGAGTCTGGTGGTGGAGGGGGAAAGTCACATTCGGGAGGAGGAGAGGGGAAGTCTGAGCTGGATTGCTGATATTGACCTGGCTTCCCCTGGAGAGCCAGAGGCAGATTAGCCAAGTTGATCTTGCCTGGTTTTGGTGGTGCACGTAGTCCTGTGGAAGAGTCCTTGGAAGGTGATCCTGTTGTAGAGGATGGAGTTGAGAAGGAGCTGGGAGGGGCTTGACTGGTTTGGGCAAACATGCTGACCAGATCCTCCACTTTCTTGGACTCCTGGTACTCAATGGAAGAGGTGGACTTCATGCTGGAGTTGCGCTGTGGGGTTGGAGGAGGCTTCTTCCCTCCTGAACCAGTAGAAGAATTTGACGATGTCGATGGGGACTTCTTGATTGGTGATCCCGTCTTGCCAGAGGTCTGTGGGGCAGGAGGGGGACTTGGAGCAGGAGGGGGAGGGAATTCAAGGGTACTCTCTGGTGGAGGTGGAGGAAATTCAGGAGATTGTGGTTGAGCCTGCCCTCCTGGCTGCCATTTTGGTTTGGTTTTAACCACAGGCGGAGATATGGGACCTTTGGATCCATCAGGGTTGTCAGGGAACTGGTTGACAATCTGCTTTACAAGCGATTGAGTGGGAGAGATGGGGGCAGATACAGATGGAGCTTTAGAAGAAAGGCTATATTGCTTGGGAAGAGTAGGTGGAGGTTGATTGGGGCTGTGACCACTGGAGAGGCTTTGCTGTTTCTTCATGGTGGCTGGAGGGGTTGGAGACAAAGAAGGTGGCACAGGGGAAACGGAGGAAATGCCGTGGGCAGGTTTTGGAGCTGTTTGAGGCAGAAACCCACCAGTGAATGTTTTAGGTGGGGCAGGTGGACCTGACTGCTGAGGCGGGGGAGAGAAACACACTGGAGGAGGTGGTGGAGGCTCTTCATCTTGTTGGACAGGTGAGAAATCATAGGTCATATTAGGGAACTTCTGAGCTAAAAACTGCTGGAGCCCATTGGGGCTAAGGGGAGGTGGGTATTTTAACTGTTCTGGGGGTGGTGGTGGAGGCAAGTAGCCATTACTGTGTAGGTAAGGTGGGGCTGGCAGCTGGTCTTCATCTGGAGGTGGAGGGGGAGTGTATTGGGGGCTGAGGGGAGCATGCTTCAACACTGCCATGGCTGACCCTGGCACTGGCATTTCTGGAGGAGGTGGTGGTAGTGGGGGCGGAGGGGGACTGCTGGCAGTTTCTGCCATATTATTCATTACAGGTTTGAGACACTGTGGGGGTGGTGTAGGGGGCATAGTTTGCTGCTGCGCTGCCAATAAGGGGGTCTGTTTGTAATGATTTGGAGCCTGGGAGATGTTTTGCAACCTAGCGAGGGTGCTGTATTTAGTGAACATAACTGGGGTGGAGTGGTGCGTGGGGTTGGGGAGAGGGGGAGGTGCTGGTGGAGATGGTGGCGAGGAGGGGGACACTGGGGACACACCACTGTAGCTGCTACGAGACTGGAGAGGCTGGGGCAGTTGGGGAAGTTGTAGAGGGTAAGAGGCTCTAGTAGGCTGTGCTGGTGGGCCATCCATTCTCATCTGTGGACATGACAAAAATTCAATTAGAACAGGAGTATGAAGGAGATTTATTTCACACAGTTTTTTTATTTTTTGAAGGATATGTATTAGTGATGTGCAACAAGATATTCAGCAGACAGTGCAATTAAAAGAGTGAAATAACATGAAATGTTACAGGAAATGCTATGAAGTCTTAAGGGAGGAGCTAAGAACTGTTAGTATTAATTAAGATCTGCTCTTCCAAACTCAGAAACGTTTGTTCTTGCAACACAGAATCATTGAGACATAGAGCTCAAACTAAAAATCACCAATTATGACAACAGCAATTCAGTGTGTGCATAAAATAGGAGTTAACCTGTATTTTTGTTGTGCTTACTGTGACTTCTCTGAGAATATCTCTTATTGA